ATCAACTCAAAATAATTTTAATACCTCTCTGTCTTTGGCATCTTTGTCCACAGAGCACCAACAGTTTCGATTTCCAGGAACTGGGGAAATTAAATGAGCGAAGGCATGAGAAGATCTGGCATATGAACTTGTGAAATCTTCCTTTTAGGCTTAACATATGCAGGTTTGCTCATGGCTCTATAAGATCATCTACTCACTGGCTGCAGCACAAAGGAAAAAGTGTAAAATGCTGTAACAGAGTTCAGAGTGAGCTTGCAGGAAGCCTCAGGACCTAATGGCTAAAGCTGTGCCATTTTGCCCAAGAAGTGAGTTCAGGTTGAGGCTCTGGGATTTAAATAGCTGCTTTTCCAAAGATGATATGCAAGTGGACAATGAACACATTAAAAAATGCTCAGCATCATACTTGTAGGAAAATACCAAACTGTAGGGAAATATCATTTAGTATTCAGAGGCTGGCTAATGTAGAAAAGCAGGCAGTCACAGTGTGGTGGGAAGAACCTCTGGTAGAGAAACCAGAGCCCCTTAGAGCTTGCCGCAGGTATAACGTAGAGTTACCAGGTGACCTAGCACTCCGTCCCCTAGGTGTAATACTCCTCAGAGATTTGAAACCATTTGTATACACAAAAGCTTGTCCATGGATATCTACAGATGCATAAAGTGTTACTCATAATAGTTCTTTTTTAATTTTAAAAAAGATTAAGGTAAAAGAGGACATGTACAACACAGGTCAGAACAGAACAATTTCAGCAACATAGTGTTTCACCACAAGACAACCCGACATAACAGTAGCTACCATAGTGTCTCTTTCCTTGATATACTTGAGTATACCTTCATACACTATATTACCAAACAAAACAAGACAGCATAAAACATTCAAGAGAATGAAAGTATTACAGGGTATTCAGAACCAACTAACAGAAAATGAACAATGGTTACTATATTATCTCCTTGTCCATAAAAACATTTTATTTATACTATCCCATATAATAAAATCCAATAAGACACAACATGATAAAACCGATGGAGACAGAAGAACAAAAGCTTGGTAGGACTTCAAAACAGGATGCTATTAAATCAGCACTAGCTATTATAATGTCTTGTTTTCTTCAGAATAGCTTTTTATATCATCACAGATAATAAAATGAAACAACCCAGAATAAAACCATTCCAACTAATGAATGAAAACATTATAAGGCTTCAAAGCCATGTAATGGGGAATCATGATTACCACATACTTTTATGTATTCTTACCATTTTTAACACTAGGGAAACTATTCGGTATTTATACATCTGAGTTTGATTTATTTCGCTTGTGAGTATTGTCTCAAGCTGCGCCCATTTATTTATAAATATCTCAATGTGATCCTTATTTATAGCTGAGTAGTACTCCATTGTATAAAAATACCACAACTTTTTTATCCATTCCTCAGTTGATGGACACTTAGGTTGTTTCCAAGATCTGGCGATTACAAATTGTGCTTCTATATTAGTCACAGTAGTTAAAAAATGGAAACAACCTCACTGCTTGTCAACTGAGGTGATATAACCACACAACAGAAATGACATGCAGCAGAAAGGAAGGACATAAATTACTGCTACATGCTGTCAAGTAAAAGAAACCAGGCAGAAAAGTCCATGCACTATCAGATTCCATTGCTACTCAGTGTCTGGAATAGACAAATCTCTGAAGAAGGAAAGCGATCATGGGCTGCTTTGCAACGGAGGGAACCGGGCAGGGGAGGCAGAGACAGGGCAGGTTTTTGGAGTCGTGAAAATATTCTGAAATTGCCGTGGATAATAATGGGAGTACGAATGTACTAAAGTCTGTGAAGTGAGTCTGTGAAGTGTATATTGTAAAGGGGGAAACGGTACAGTGTGAATCATACCTGAGTAAAGCGTTTTTAGAAATTCCAGGCTCTGCTGTTGACTCTTTACATCAGCACTGACTTGTGTGGGACAGTGCTCCTGGCAGAACCTTGGAACCTCAGGGAGCAGGAGTAGTACCCTGTGGCGTGTCCGCACGGTGACTGATACTGCAGGTATAAAAATGAGCAGCAGCCAGACTGATGGTCGTCTTTAGCACCGGGGTTTCCCATGTCCCTCCTGAAGCACTGGGTCTGCGTGCTTTCACTGTCGATTGGGAGTCACGACGTTAGGACACGTGAAGACTGACCCTGTTGTCACACCCTCACTTGTGTGCACTTCTGGTAAAAGTGCAGCCGTATGGCTCTGATATCTGTTATTTATTTATAACTCAAATAACTAGGACCTTGCTCAAGAAGTGCTTGTGAAAAATTACCCTTTTAATGCTGGTACATTTAATGAGAAACTGGATTATCTATTGCATAAGTGCCCTTCATACAAATTAGCTTGGCCCTGGGTCCTAATCTAAATTGGGCTCACTACTTTTCTATAAATTGCCTAATATTTTCTTATTAATCTCTGCCCTTGGTCACCTGACCTCGCCCCTCCTTGATGCTCCTCCTCAGCAGTACGCTGACCATCTGTGACTGAGTGCTTGACGCATAGCCTCGTTTCTGGACATGATTGGTTGCTTCAGTGAAACGCAGAGTTTCTGTGCAATTCCACTTTCAGGCTGCTCACTGTCCCCAGTGGAGTTGTCATGCTGCCAGTGTATTTATATTTAACAGCAGTAGAATTGGGTCAGGTGAGTTTTGATGCCCAGTGAAGTTGGGGCTTTAGAGGAAAGTTGGACAGAGGAGAAGCAATTCATCATACTGACAAGAAGGCAGCCTCGAAAACGCAGAGCACAAGCAAACTCTAAGCATGAGCTTTGGCCCCAGACACTTTTGGGTCAGGTCTTACTTGTTTTGAGCTTGGACAGGTGACACAGCCTTGCAAGTCCTCAGTTTCATTGTCTATAAAATCTGTCTAGTAGTGCCTTCCTCTAGGATTTTCTTCAAAGGTTGAGCAAGTTGATACATGCTGTGTGCTTTGCAATGGAGGCTGCACAATGATGTGATTACGGTTGAGTTTTGGGGGAGTCCCAGTAGTGACAGAGGGCTATCAGTGGCTGAAACAGTGTCACATACTGCAGAGACACAGGTAGTATTTGAAATGGAGCAATATGACCTCAGTCCAAAGTGTAGGTGGCCCCTCTCAGACTCGGCATGGAAGGCAGGAAGAAGGGGCTATGGCACCGGGGATCTTGTTGCTTAGCTGGACATCCACACAAAGCAAATCATGACAGATGTTCTCAGCACTCATCTCTGACTCATCTCTGAGACTATAATCATCTCAGTATCTGTTTGCTGTGTGAAATACTATCAAAGGCTTCAATGTACTAGGCCCAAGAGGGTCCAGTGGATAAAAGTGATAACCCAGAGTTGAGGACCACGTGTCCAGGCCTGGCCCTGCAGATATCCCTCCTCTGGAACTGCCTTTCTCCATCAATGGAACTTCCAGAGACTCTGTTTCCTGGGATGTTCGCAGAGGTTTCAGGTACTGGTTGCACAACGCTTCCCATGAGAGGAATGCATGATTCACACGGGTTCCCACTGAAGTTATTCATCATATGGTACCCGCACAGAAAGATGGTCCACAGAGGACCCGCAGAGGACCAAGTGGTCCTCGTTCAGCAGATAAGGACCTAGGGCTCAGCCAGGCAGGTGATTTAGAAGGGAAACCTTACAGGTGTGAAATAATGCACTCTGCATTTTATTTGCAGTCACCAAAACTTGAGCTTGAGGTTTTGTCTCCTTCATGTATTGACGATGAGTACAGCATTTGGCACAAGAAGAGGCACTCAGCAAAGGATGAAGGGATAAATGAATGAAGTGAAAGCCATATATTGTGGGTAAAAAAAGCACTACATTATGGCTAGCTATTGCCATTGTTTTTTGTTGGTGTTTGGTTTGGTTTGGGACTTTTCTGTGTGTTTTAGGCATGTGCTCAGATGATTCTCAGCCCTACCCTCAAGGAATGCCTTGATCTGCATATAAGATAATGTATGTAGGTAGAGAGAAGTGGGCTCTTTGACTCCAATGACCTGAGCTATAGGTTTCTGACCACCTGGAGAAGCATAATAAAGAAAAAATCAGGATAGGAGCAAATGATATCGTGAGAGCCAACTCTCAGCTCTGAGGGATCTAGGTTTTAGGAACCATGAATGCCGTAGGCCTCTGACTAGCAGTGTGTGGAGGCTAGAGAGAGGACCGAATTCCTATGAACTCATCCTGTTTCTGATCTGAATTTGGAGAAGCAGCCTGACCACCTTTATCTCCGGAGAAATGATTTGGTTGTTCTGAAGCATGCATGTAAGACTTACAAAATACCTGGCATGAAGCACTTGTGGAAGTCACAGTAACTTTATGGCCCTTACTTCCTGTGGATATATGTGAACTCTGGGCTCATGTCTCTTAGCAAACTATTATGGTAATAGGTATTGGGAGACCCTGTTGCAAGATGTGGACAGCACAATGCCAAGTAGCATGGAAGCCTGTTTCTCTACGCATGTGAGATAGCAGGAGAGAGCAGCATGAAACCATCTTTTATTCATTGTCATGCCACAAAACGAAGTAGTCACTCTCAAGTTTCACGGCAAAGTCGCTCATGGAATTGGGCTCAAAGAGAGTCTTTTAAATGCTGGAAATACTGGACCAGCAAATATCATGGTTCAGCAAGACTTTTGAACATGTATGTTGTAGGTGGTTATCACTGGTTGAATACCTGCTGTGGATCAAACACAACATTAAATGCTTTGCATATATTGTCATTTATCTTACTATCCAACTGGGGTGATTATTTTTAACTTTTTTCTTCCTAAGTAACTTGAGACTCACAGAGAAATAATTTACTCAGGATTTAAATGGATAGAGCCACAACTCACTTCTAGGAATATTACTGTTTTTTCTCCCATGCCCAGTGAACTGACTTACTGCAACAGAGGTAGAAGCAGAATGACTCTTGGAGCAATGGATTCTTACAGGCAGTGAGGCCTGTGCAGCCTTGTATCTGAATCTGCCTTTTTGTGTTTCCAGGTCAGGATCGCAGTGAAGCCACTTTGATAAAGAGATTCAAAGGTGAAGGGGTCCGGTACAAAGCCAAACTGATTGGGATTGATGAAGTTTCCGCCGCTCGAGGAGACAAGTTATGTCAAGATTCCATGATGAAACTCAAGGTGCTGTGCACACTTTTCATTGTAACTAACTGTCTCTGGTTTACTGTGAGGAAGGCAAAGAGGTGACTGCCATTACTATGGAAATAACCTCATCTATTTATTGGCAAGTCACTTGATCCGTGGTTGAGTCACCTGTGTACTTACCGCTTGAAAAAAGAGCGATTGAGCAGCTACTGTGTTTTGTTCGGTCTTGTTTTATATTTTTGACTGTATCATCTTTAGTTTTATCTTTCCTGAGTGAACCTTTCAAAAACAAAACTATCAAATACAAAATCATCATCAACTTGTTTAGACCCACATTGTAAAATTGTTATCATTGTTTTTGAATAATTTTATGTATTTTGTTATATGATAAAATACGTTAAAGTTTAAGATGACTTTATTCATTTCTATAATTTGTATAAGTAGAGTGTAAGCTCGTAAAAATTAAGGGAAAATAATATCATAATATTTAAGGTAATATATAGATACTGGAATTTTGAGATATCACAAAGATATTTATGATGTCTGTAAATGCTATAAAGAAACCTCACTGAAAATGTTAAGAAAGAAATTAATGTTTAAATATATAAAAAAGATATTATTTTATTGAAAAGCCCTAAAGTATCCAAAAATATTATTTGATCCCATATTTTGTCATCTATTTTAAGTGATTTTAAAGTACTACAAAAGCAAATAACTTAGTAAAAAGACTGAAAATATTTTACATGTTTAAATCTTGTATAATAGGTTTTGTTGGTTATAGAGTTCACTTGTATCCATTGCAAATTATTTTGAAAATATGCAGAAGTGTAAGGATGAAAACCAAAACAATCCAAAATGTCACAATGAAAATAATGTCAATATTTTGTGCATAATCTATACCTATATAAGTGGTGATCAAAATGCATGGTGAATATGGCGAATATTTAAATAAAGCAGTTCATTACTGTAAAAGACACATTGCCTTTCATCCACCTCACAATATTCTCCCGCTCTTCAAACATTCTTACTCCATTATTCTTGCCACTTTCTGACACAGCTCTGGAATTGCTCTTCCTGAGTGTTTTCCTCTACTGGGTGTTTTCAAAAATGGGGCTGCCGCTGCAGAGTGCCTCCAAAGGAAAGACAGCTTGTGAAAATATTATGACATGTCTTCAGACCCCTGATTCACTGGGACTGGAAACTTCTGAATCCTTCCCAAAGTAAAAATGACCGTGAAAAATAAACTTGTTGAATGAATTCAGGACATTGACACAGCTCTGACGGTACAATTGAAGATACTCACAAAAGAGGACGTCCAGAACTGCTTTGTATTTGCACTTAATTTAGTATAACTCCCCAACTTAGTTTAATAGTCTGCCGTTGAGTTACTACTTAATAACCACACATTTTTGCCCTCTGAAATAGTCACCTTTCAGACGCATTGGCTAATTGCAACTGAGACGCACAACAAGATCTCTTAAAGACAGTACCTGAAAGGCTTATACAGACATCTGGTGCAGTAATCAACTTTCTGGTTGCATGTACAAGATACCCAACATCTGCACTTAAAGGAGGAGATTTGATTTGGTTCACAGTTTTCGAAGATTCAGTCCATGGTTAGCTGGTTCCAAGCTGAAACATGATGGAGGGGTTTGGTTGAGGCGAGTTGTTCCCTTCATGACACCCCGAGGCACAGCAAGTTGGAAAGAGTGGCAGATAAGAAAGAGCCAAGAACCAAATATGTATCCAAGTTTATTCCTCTATGACCTATTCAGAAACACCCAAAAATGGGCTTTATAAATCCCCTAGGTGACTCCCAACCCAATCAAATTGACAGTTAAGCTTCACTATCATAGAGTTTTGGTCAGAGTCTTGATAGACACAGAGTCCCCCTGCAGAGGTCAGATGAGGGCACTTTAATAAAGGAAACACTGTCAAATGTAGGAAATGGTAAGATGGCAAACAGGGTGATAAAGCACCCGGTCTAATATCCACCAGATTCTGTTACCCCATCTAGGAAAAGATTGCAAAAATAGCATAGAAGAGGGGGAGGAAAAGTCAGCCACCGCAGTTAGATCAGTATTGAGAAAGAAGTAAAGAAAATTCCCCTGATGTCTTCCTCCTATCCTCTTTTCTCCTGTCTCTGTCTTGCATGCTGGAACTCACTAGAAGCCAAGGAAAGGAAGATCAGGATACAGGGAGTGCAGTCTGCAGTGGCTTTGGGGGCATAAAACAGGACAAAGATGTTTGCATTCCCTTTTTAAAGTAGGAAACATGAAGTTTAGAATAAAGTTAAGCCAAATAAATAGAGGGCTGATCATGGAGGTCAGATTGCTTACATAGGGCTTTCTGGACCAACATCCTTCGGTTTCCTGTCTTCATGTTTAACACTCATGCCTCACCTGTTCCATGAGGTCAGGGTCGTAACATCATGAGTATGCACCATATGTGAGTCATCTCAAAGCCCTTTCATATGTGTCATTTTAACTGATTCATATAGCATTCCCTGAGCCAGATAGAGCAGTCCATTAATCCTCACTGGCCTGCCTGACGTTTTCTCTAGATTTAAATTTCTCCACTGAAACATGTTCACTTGTGACTCCCTTAGGAATGCCTGCATTAATCATTTCACCCAGTGCCTAGCACATCCTGTTGCTTAATAATGTCAATATTAGTTCAAGTAACAATGATTATTATGTACTAAGTGCTCCCTGCACCGTGTGGTAAGAGATGTCGAGTACTCTCATTATAGAGTTCCTCTTCACCAAGGAGTTAGGAAAGCTAGTGACCCTACCTAGCTATTTTGGGAAACATTTGGACAAACATTGCATAGTTGGTTTTAAAAAAAAACTGTTTCTCAGTAAAGGCTCTGTGAAAAACTGTAATAGTAGAAGGACTCTTACTTTAGAATCTAAAAGATGACTGTCTGAATTCCACTTCTGGAACCTACTTGCACCTTTATGTTTATTGAGATCACTTGACCCCTGACTTTCCATTGACTCATTGGTGAAAGGAAGGAGGTAGTTCTTAATTCCTGAGACTATCATATGGTCTAAATTATATGGCATGTAAGAAAACTTCTGGCGGATAGTAGCCATCCAAGTAAATGTCTGATTCCTCAGATTCTACTTTATCATGGTGATGTACTAGGTCAGGCGCCCAATACTGTGCCTGGGACAGGACCCACATACACCTTGTATAGCTACGCCCAGGACTGCCTTGAGGACCTCTGTTACTTCTGCACAGTGCAGTGACTTATCTTGGGAAAAGAGCTCTGGGAATGCTGTGGTGACAGGACTGCTGAGCCACCATGCAGCTTAACAGAGTCTTGTCTTAGAAGATAAATGTGCCTAATCAGAATGGACATTTACTTCCCCAAAGGTAACAGCACACACAGTATCTCACTTTTTGTGTGAAGCGCACACCAACAGCCCCAAGCACAGATGCTCTAAGAATATGCCAGGGATTCTTTCCATTCCTTTCATGCACCACCCTTTTCTTCCAGGGAGTTCCCTAGCTACTTGAAACAGGCAAGCATAGATTGGCCTCGGTATTCATTGGGCTACCATGCTCCAAAAAGCATTGCTAGCTGATGCCACAGAAAGTCTGTGAGCCAGAGACTGTGAAGCCTCCCTTGGAGGTGAAGACTTTAAAGCTATTCATCCTGCCCAAAGGTGCAGCCCCGTCCCCAGTGTGTCCAGCATGTGTTGGAGGGGGATGGTATTTAGAAGAAGGGACTCCAGTGTCCTCTGACTCAGTCCTCCTAGTACTCTCTTTCCTCATGAGGGGCTCTTTTAGTCTGTCCTGGGACAGGACCCACATACACCTTGTACCATAATGAAGAACCCAGGGTACATAATGTAAGGAGAACAGGAATTTATTTCTTTACAGATCTGAATACTGGGAAGCCCAAGATCAAGGCACCAGTAGAGTCATTTATGGTGAGAGTCCCATCTTTCTGCTTCCAAAGTGGTGCCTTGTTGCTGAGTTCTCCAGAGGGGATGAACTCTGTCCTTACATGGCAAAATAAGAAGTAGCAGATAAGAGAATAATTAAACTTTTTCTCAAGTGCTTTTCTGAGTACTCCAGTCCCACCTTTGGGGCTTTGTTTCTGTGATTTTATTATGTCCCAAAGCCCCTCCTCTAAATCTTCTCTCCTTGTTAACCAAGTGTCAACCCATGGATTTGGAAGAAGGCATTTAGACTATGCAAGGGGCTACTTACTCTGTCTTGAAACCTGAGGTTAAAGGTTGGTGAGGTAGAGGTGTAGCATATGTCATTTTATTCAGATCCACAGAGAACACTGTGTTTGTTACTTTTCTGTCCTTGCAAATTGGAAAATTAAGGAAGGAAAGGTTTATTTAGCTTACAGTTTGTGGAGGTTTCAGTCCGCAATTAGCTGGCTCCAAGGCAAAGTGCCATGCTGAGGGACAGCTGTTCAGTGTGCAGAAGACAGCAAAAGCAACAAGGGCAAAGGGGAGAGCAAGCCTCTTCTCCTCCCTTATATTGTAGGCAAGCTACCACCTCCTAGGGTGAGTCTAGTACCCACACCGTCTTCTTGCCCTCCTCTTAACAGAGGGAAGATATTTACAAAGTGGCCCCCAGCTGAGTCATTTAGTTAAACTCCTAAACTTCTCAAGTTGACACATTGTATCAACCATTGCAAACACAGATTTCATCCTTCTGGGGTTTTCTTAAAGTTGACATCTGACCTTTTCTCTGAGTTACTACCCAGAGAAGGAAGTTCATCTTTTTGCTGTGTGCCTGCTGCATGCCAGGGCTCAGTTCTCAGCACTGGGCCCCTTAAAAGAATCAAAGTTCCAATCACAGCCAAGATTTCATTGTGTCAGCAAACGAGGTCAGCTGGTAAATACATGAGATGGCTGAGGTGGTCAGTGAAGATCGGTGTGCTGCCTCATTTCAGAAAGTTAGGTGGAGTCATTGACCTGAAGCAGGAATTATGTCTGGGATTCCAAAGACATACATTGATCATCCTCCTGGCTCCTCCAAGGCATACACAGTGAATTTAAAAGCAAACTGCATATTGAGGCTTCTAGAATCCACTGAGTAAAAGAACAGATTGTCCATTCCACTGTGTCCAGTGAGGGAGAGGGTTACCCCTCACCCTTCCGGATGCAAGCACACTGCAGAAAACACAGAAGAGCAAAGGGAAAGGTGTACACATGATTAGTGATGTTGGTTGATGATACCTGACATGCTTTGTGGCCAGAGGGAATGAAAACACTAAAGTAAAAGTCATGTCCTTTCTTTCAACAGGGTGTTGTTGCTGGCGCTCGTTCCAAAGGAGAACACAAACAGAAAATCTTTTTAACCATCTCCTTTGGAGGAATCAAAATCTTTGATGAAAAGACAGGGGTAAGTGAAATTGAACCCATTGACAGATGTGCCCTTAAAACATCTTCTCTGTGGGCAGGGATATCAAACAAGCGTAAAAACACATGAAGCAACTGACACCCTTGATCAAGTATGATCATCCTTCAAAGCAAGTCTCTTTGGTGACTTGGCCACAGCGTAACTGCATTGTGCTTCTAATAGTGTAATTGTGATAAAAGTGTCACATCAACTTGGTAATTTAATGGGAGATTGATGGGCTTTCAAGAGCAGGGCTGTTGTGACAGTTGAAGTTGTATTTCTTGGTGTGCTGGCATCTTTGATGGTATGCATCCTACACAGGGACACACATATGTCCTTGGACTTGGTCAAAGCATCTAGACTGTATGGAACATAACCTGTAGCATGTTGCAGTTGCTATAATCCAAAAAATTAAATAGAGTTCTCTGTCATAAAAAAGTCTATCTCTGTACTATCAGGAAATGTAAAGACCAATATATTTGTTGAACTCACCAAAGAAGTGGTCACTTCTGCGATAAACTCCAAATTCATCCCCAGAGCTCACCTGACACTGTAGGTCGTACTAATTAGTGGGAAGGATGATGGTGATTTTTCCAATGGAAAGTGAATCACGGAATGCCACTAAACTGTACCCTTAAACGTAGTAACTTAGCTACATTTTGCATGTATTTTACAGCAAAAAGTAGCTAGTAATTATGTAGTTTGTTGCATACCTCCCATATATGAGATTCGTCTTTGTCATTTAAATTGTTTCATGCTTTCATCAGTTCTAGGAGACAAGAATGAGATTCTATTCATTGGTTTTCTGCTCCTGTAGTGAAACACTGAAATGGACCAACGTTATCCAGGAAAGAGACTGAAATCTTTTGCAGCTCTAGGAGTTCAAAGGCATGCACCAGCATTAGCTTATCCTAGCATACACTTAGCATTAGGGAGGCCCAAATGGGCAGGGTAGACAGCCAGGATTGGCTGATTTGAATGCTTTCTTCTGGCTTTGGGCCAGGGTAAACCCAGGTTCAGATACCTGGCTGCAGGATTGTTAAAGGATGGGGGCCAGGTGGAATTGGTCTGGCTCTGGATTGGTTATTTTGCCTATTACAGACATGGACCCACATAGATCCTTGCTAAAAACTAGCTAGCTCTGAGAGGGATGGTTTATCCCTAGTCAAAAAGATTTTGGTAAGATGCAAAAGCATCATAATAGAGGCAGCCCTCTAACAGTATGAACATATGTGGGAGGGAAAAGTCATATCTCAAAAGAAAAAGCCAGGAGCCAGGGCTTCGTATCCCTTCTGAAGACCTCCTGCCATGGGCCTACAGAACTCTCGGAAACCCTACCACCTCCTAACACTACCAGACTGAAGACCAAGCCTCTGACCCAGGAACACTAGGGAGATGCACTCCACCGAAAACCCAGCCGCCTCACCAAGTGTACATTATGTACCAGGCATGTAAAACCCTCCATAGGTGTCAGGCTATTTAGTCCTTACAGTTACCCATGTGGTGCTGGTATCGTTTCCTCTACTCTACAGTTAGAGGCCTCAAAGTCAGAAAAGTTTGCTTACCTTGCTGAGCATAAGTGGTGGGTAGAGACAGGATCAGAAGCCATGCAGCCTGGCCCACAAGTCATTTTGCACATCCATGATGCTGTTTATCTTTTTGGAAAACTGATGTTGTAAATCTCCCTGTGTTACATGGTTTTTATGAGGAAATCAGTCAGGTACTGCCATAACAGAGGACATATGCGAGGCTCAGTTAAAAGCAAAGCCTACTTTACTAATATTTCCTGGGTGCAGGAGCCACCAGGGTCCTCAGGGCAAAAGACAGGCATGAAACTAGAGCCCCCAGGACCATGGCCTGAATTGGAGTTTCCACAGGAAACACAAGAAGGGCAGGGTGGACAGCCAGGATTGGCTGATTGAATGCTTTCTTCTAGGTCTGGGCTAGGGTAATTCCAGGTTCAGGCACCTGGCTGCAGGATGGTTAATGGATGGGGGCGAGGTGGAAGTGGTCGGCTCTGGATTGGTTATTTTGCCTGTCATAGACATGGATCCAGACAGACCCTGGCTAATAACTAGCTAGCTCTGAGAGGGATGGTTTATCCCTAGTCAAAAAGGTTTTTGTAAGGTGTCAAACCGTCATAATATTCAGAAGACTTAAAAAATATTTACAATATAACCCAAAGTTGGGGGAGGCAGACTAGCACTTTAATGTCAGATTGGCCTAAACCAAAAATCAATGTCATTTTGCTTGAAAAGATGGGGCTCCCTGCACGTGCATAGTATAAGGGTGTTTAGAAGGGTAACAGAGCATTGGTAGAAAATTGGCCCCACCTAAGCTCATCAAAATATGGTTTCAGAAATAGGGAAGTAGTAGTTCCCTTTCCTGGAAAGATTACATTTTGGAGACCTGTGCATAGTTTTCAAAAAGATCTTGGCAGGTCAAGGAGTATCTTGGTCAAGAGGACAAAAGCAGTGAGCTATGGGGACCATGCTGGGCCAAGTCTCCTTGATGCAGATAGGACATCAGGGATCCCATGATGCACAGAAGGTGGTGAGCTTTGTGCACAGGCATGGAGAGCGCTACTGATCCTTTAGCTCCCTTGTGAAGGCCAAGGAAGGCAGGTCAGGCCTAACGGGGAGATCCTTTCACAATGATTTATACGTCCCAGTGTGAGGATGTCATCTCCAGCCCCTTCTCAGCTCCAGCCCTGTCTATCACCATGACAACTGGCATAGCTGGAAGGACGAAGCAGAAGCGAGGCCACAGGGTGTCTGGTGGTTTATATTGTTTGAGGCTGAGGTTCAGGCTATGTGTGCCCCACCATCACGCAGGCTGTGCCCAGATAATTAAAGTCCTAATCATCTAGGTTTTAACTAATGCACAGAATTGGTTCACATTTTTTACCTTTACCTCCTCTCTCAAAGGGGAATGACTCAGATGCTGCGCCCCCCAGAGATGCCATCTAACCTCGAGCATAACTTTGGACTGTATGGCTACTAATCTTGACAGCAAGACTGAACTGATGTCAGTTTATTTCTTCCTAGAACTGTTTGGCATGGTGGATAAAACATTAGATCCCTGGTGGAAAATCAGGAAAGAGGCAGTTAAATGTTTCTGTCTGGCTTAATTTACTCTTAGTTCTGTTGATTAACATTGGGCCTCTGTAACACAGAGCTTCTTAGCTTGTTATATGCCTCAACACAAGTACTCTGGAAATGGTCAGATGGATTGAATTTGTTTAAATTTGAAGTAGAGATGATGAAACTCTAAAGAGTTGTCTAATAGAAGGAGCTGACTGCTCTGTGGAACTCTGAGGAATGGAACCCGGACTTGTTGATAGAAGTTTCTACTGGGGCAGTTCCAGTTTACCAGTGATCTGATAGGCAGAGATACTGTATCTCAGTATCTCTACCTCAGTATCTCTGCCTATCAGATCACTGGTAAACTGGAACTGCCCCAGTAGAAACTTCTATAGTAGAGATACTAGTGAGAGGGTAGATTTCTGTGTGAGTGAGTTCACCATCACTGGGGAAATCAAACCAGAAGATGGGATATTATTGAAGGGAGTCAGGTAGTGGGTAATGTGTTAATCAACCTAAGTTGATTTCTGGGATGAGAATTTTAAGACTCTGCTTTTGACTTAGAGTACTGTGTATTGATGTTTTTTATTTGAAAACCCTTGGTGGGAGATTATGAGCAGAAACAGTTTACTGAACCTTTGTCCTTGCCCGGCAGGGGACTGACTGAATTGTTCAGGAAGGAAATCTAAGTGAAGTGTTTTTCTCTCAATATCAAAGAAATGGAAAACTAGGTCTTTGTCATTCCAAATGACAAATCTTAGTTGTTTATCTTGTCTATGGTATTTTTGCTCAAGCTTGACTGCACTTTTTTTAAAAGCTGAGAAAAGAAACATTTGCAGAACGTGACAATAGCTAGAATTTTAAAATCCAAAAGCTGTCAAAAATGTTTTGATCCCAATTAAAGAGACCCTTTGCAGCAATTTACACCCTGTCTTGAATTTCAAAGAACTCTTGATCCCAATCCTTGTATGAGAAAATTTTGTTTTATTATTAGCATGTTGCACAGAATAAGCTAATATTGAAAGCTGTTTGTATTTTCAGATCCTTAGATATTACCAGTCTATCCAACATATCAGTGAGAACACAGAAAATGTCACACTTTTGTGGCCATTGTGTGATTAGAAAGAGTAGCAAAGGCTTTCATAGTAAAGTGTTCTTAGATCTTCAGGCCAGACCAGTTGACAGCAAGACTGAGCTGATGTCATTTTCATTTCCCAAATGAGGAAACAGGCTCTGGGTATGCCCCTGACCTGGTTATAACTCAGAACAGACCTTCCACCCCCAATCCCCTATCTGTGCAGTAAACCTCGCTGATTCTCATCTGTCATCATTTACAGTTTTGGTCCTTAGAAATGTTAGCATTTAATGGCATATGAAAGCATAAATACCGCAAGACCCTAGAGGTACCGCTATTTCTTGGCATGGAAGGCAGGGTTTTTATCAGCTTCTCAAGATGTTGCAGTGTCTTTATTTCCAGATTCACCTGTGGATTTCTCCTGTTTGTTTGAAAGTGCTAACGTGTTTCTGGGTCTCTTAAGTATACCATTCTAAATGTGCTACAATTTTATTAAGTAAATGCTTTTTTTCTAAACTAGGCCTTTGCACAGAGTTATATCCCAAGCATATTTATTTATTTATTTGTTTTGTTTTGACACAGGGTGTTTTTAAGTTATGAAGATGCTTGGCTAGTCTGGGCTCAAATTTGTAATCCTGCTTCTGTGTCCCGGAGTGCTTGGATTATAGATTTGTACCTCCCTGTTTGGCAGGAAGTAGATGCCACTATTGTCACCATTTTGCAGAGGGGAAATCTGAGACTCAAATTAACACAGCTAATAAGAGGACTAGATTTCAACACTCAGTAACAAATTCTTGATGTTAAGAAGGGTCACTGATAATAATACACTAATTTTATAAATGACT